TCAAAAAGTGAAAGAAATCATTCATCAGTGGAAAAAGAGGCTTATGCAATAGTGGAAGCTCTTAGAAAATGGAGACATTTCTTGATAGGTAAACATTTTCGACTTATAACTGATCAAAAGTCTGTCTCTTTTATGTTCAATATGCGCCACACTAGTAAGATAAAAAATGAGAAGATTATCAGATGGCGCCTTGAATTATCATGCTACAGTTTCGATATTCAGTACCGACCAGGAGTTGAGAATGTAGTGCCAGATACTTTCTCACGAGTGAGCTGTTCAATAAATCCTCGACCAAGTCTATTTGAACTACATCAATCCTTGTGTCATCCAGGAATCACCAGAATGGTCCATTGGATAAAGACACGCAACTTACCATATACTATTGATGAAGTCCGTGAAATGACCAATCGCTGTCCTATCTGTGCAGAAATAAAACCAAAGTTTTTGAAAACTCAAGGGAGATTAATTAAAGCTACTTCGCCTTTTGAAAGATTGTCTCTGGATTTTAAAGGACCGCTTCCATCTAGATCTCATAACAAATATATCCTAACAATTGTTGATGAATATTCTCGATTCCCCTTTGTATATCCATGTCAAGATGTTTCAGCGAAAACTGTTGTGAAGTGTCTTACAAACTTATTCTCTTTATTTGGAATGCCTAGTTATATCCATTCAGACCAAGGGGGGGCATTTATGTCTCAAGAAGTCAAAACATTTCTCCATTCACAAGGAATACCAACAAGCCGAACAACATCTTACAATCCTGAAGGAAATGGCCAGACAGAAAGATATAATGGAATTATATGGAAAACTATTTCTCTTGCATTAAAATCTAAACATTTAAAAACTGAACAGTGGGAAGAAGTAGTTGAGATAGCTCTTCATTCAATTCGTTCTCTTTTGTGTACATCTACAAACAGTACCCCTCATGAGCGAATGTTTCATCATTCCAGAAAAGCTATAAATGGAGCTGCACTTCCTTCATGGTTGATAACCCCCGGAAAAGTATTTATGAAAAAAAATGTGAGGCAGTCCAAATATGAACCCCTCGTTGAAGAAGTACAGCTAATTGAAGCAAATCCAAACTATGCTGTTGTTAGACGTGAAGATGGTAAAGAAACAACAGTAGCCTTAAGACAACTTGCACCACGAGGAGATGCATCTCTGGACTGTGTTAGTGGATCGGAATCTGCGGTTTCTAATGAACAGTTTATCAAAGATCCACCAAGCCCTAGATTGAGTATATGTGAGGAAAATCCAAATATTTCTCCTGTTAACATTCTGGAAGATCAAGGTCATATTGAAAGTGTTTTAGAGGAAGAAAATAAACACAGTCTTATTAGAAGAGGTACCAGGGAAAGAAACACTCCTGCTTACCTTAAAGACTTTGTTCAAAAATAAAGTTGGGGTGAATGTCCTGTGGTCTGTGAACTGTGTTTGTCATTTGTCATCTTAGTTTTAGTTAATGTCATATGTAATTGTCATGTTATTCATTCAAACAAAACAATGCTAATTTCTTGTATATTAAAACCTAGTTTATAAAGGTTTTGCATTTCATTACAGTAACTACTATATCTGACCATACATTTAATTTTTGTGGTCTTTGAGTATGGTTTTCACGTGTGAATTTACGTCACACCAGTTCCTTAAATTGTGTCGATTTACACTTCCACACAGTGTAAAAGTTGCTTCATCGGAAAAACATATTCGGTTAACGAAATTTTAATAATTTTCAATCTTATCCATCATTACCTCAGTAAACTCTAATCTACGACCAAAGTCATCTTCACTTAATTCTTGCAATAAGTTAATTTTGGTTGATATAAATTTATTTTTACGTAATAAACGTAAGACTGAAGAATGACCTACATCATGTACTTGTGCAACCCTCCCTGTGGATGTATGTGGATCTTCAACAAAACTTTGCTTATTTCTGAAGTTTTGTTGTCATTGATAACTCCTTTCGGTCAACCTGATCGGTATCTATCTTTTACTTCTCCAGATTCCTCAAATCGCCTTACAGTTTTTTGTACCGTCGTCTTATGAATAGGAGAACGGTTTAGAGAACGGCATTTTAGAAAAGCAATTTAAATTGCAGAACTTTTTGTTCACATGTCAAAATCACAGCATTCCCCATTTAAATATTTAAATTTGTTAAAATCTACATATTTTGCACCGTTTTATCAGCGTGAAAACCATACTCAAAGACCACAAAAATTAAATGTATGGTCAGTTATAGTAGGTACTTATTTAATTGGGCCATTTTTTATCGAAAGAAATTTAACGTCAGATATTTGGTGTAAATGTTCGGCTTTATTTAGATGAGATATTTCCCGGACGATAAATTGTTAGACAAGGTAGAATTGAATGGCCTCCACGTTCACCCGATCTCAATCCTAAAGAATATTTTTATTAGAGATACTTGAAAAATTCAGTTTACAAAACTTAACCAGCAAGTCTTGCATATCTAAGGCAATGAATTATCGATGAATCTCGAATAATTTCTAGACAATCATGAAGAAATGTGGTAGACGCATTCTACCATCGATTAGGGTGCTGTCAACTCACAAATGGAGCACATTTTGAACACTTAATAACGTAACTATTATGTTAAAAAATATTCTAAACTATTAATTGCTACGTTTTAATGTATTTGAAAATAATTAGTATTAAAAAATTTATTGAAACAATTTAGGCGTTGCCAGACTTCTGTTTTATGTATTTAAGACCTTCCAGACTACATAAAATCATAAGTGTTACATATGGTTGAACTCCTATTTAATAGGAGATTCCAATAATGACTGAATATACAGGGTGATGTATTTGAAAAACCAAAGTTACTAGTAATATAAGAGAAACTGAAAATCTGTCAACATTGCAAATACCAAATATGGAATCTTCGTATCCCAAAATAGGCGTATCTCAAATTTTGTATAATTATGTCTAGTAATTTACGAGATAATTAGCCGTTTCCAGATTTTTGGGCCACTCTGTATATAGGTTTTATATGCTGTTATTTACTTATTACGAGTATTTTGGTTTTCCGTATGTTCAGATCCAGACCTGCCTCCCTACAACTCTCAACGACACTAGCAAGTAGTATTTGCAGATCTTCTGGACTAGAAGCTAAGAGTATTGTATCGTCCGCATATCGCAAATTATTGATGACTTTACCATTTACAAGTATTCCCTCTTGTTTTTCAGAAACTGGTTTTCTGAAAACTGTTTCTGAGTAAACGTTGAAAAGCAGGGGCGACAAGAGGCATCCCTGCCGTACTCCTCTTTTAATATTGAGAGCTTATGATTCCACACCATATACTAAAACTGATGTTGTTTGATTCCCATATAAATTTGCAATTATTCGAACATCTCTGCCGTCCAAGCCAATTTCTTTTAGAGCTTCGATCAATATAGAGTGCTTAACACGATCAAACGCCTTTTGGAAGTCAGTAAAACAACAGTATATGTCTACAGATATATCTCGACATCTATGAGTAAGTATGTTTATTCCAAATAGTGCCTCTCTTGTTCCAAACCCGTTACGGAAACCAAACTGAGTGTTATCCATGTATTTCTCGCATTTATTGTAGATACGACTATGTATTACCTTCAGAAAAATTTCCAATAAGTGGTTTAACAAACTGATGGATCTATAATCAGCACAGGTTTTTGCTGTTGTCTTCTTAAGTAGAGCTATACACAGTGAATTAGACCAACGTAGTTGTCCGCTGGTATAAATGGTATTGAAAAACGAAGTTATAGCCTCTAAAATATTGCTATCATTTATAAGCTTGTATATTTCAGTTTCATCATTTTATCAGGACCAGTCACTCTGCCATCTTTTGATGATTGTATGGCTTTTATAACCTCAGAGCGTATTATTAGGGGTCCGTCGCAGTTGGTAATATCGGGAGGTGAACTACTCCTATCGTCTTCGAATAGGTTCGTGACGTAATTTTCCCATTCTTTAAGTTTGTGCTCTACTTCAAATATTACTTTACCATGTTCATGCAGTGCAGTTTGTTTCTTATTGAAGATATCAGCCGGTTATTTACCAGCTTTTTACATACTTTACCATTCTTTACAGCCGGATCAAACTTACCTTTCTTCATGTAGAAACCTCTAAACTGGTTGCAGAGTGAAGTGAACTACTGAAAATACAATCTGAAAAAATGGGACCGTACGCTAAAAATTATCTGTGTGACTACGGCGCTGTAAAAACTAATTATCATCTGCTGGTTTACAAATAGCTATAACAAACCTGTATCCAAGAAGACCTAAAACAATCCCACGAAAGAGCCGAGTCTTCAAATTTTAGACCGATGAATTATAAAAATATTTTCAACTACTTTTGGACAAAACCATGGCAAAAGCTCCAATCAATGAGTGAATTGTGGAACCCTTTATCTGTCATCAAATGACAAATGTCCAGTCTATTAAATATTCATGTAGAAGAAGAAAGATAAGTTGAAATTTCTTCTTTTATCTTTATTTTACTTGTTTTCTTCTGGGTTTAACTGTTTTATAAAATTTTTAAAGATTCCTAATTCTATATGAAGCAGTGGTAATAAGATATTTTTTAATAGGAACAATCTAAATTTCTCACGTTAAGGACAATTTCGTTTGTTGTTGCGGTTATTCCAAAACATGTTTTCCACAATTCCACAAGCACCTGTTTTGGTGTAACCCGTTTTCATGAAATCAAATTTTTTCGAAAGTTCCAGAATAATCCACTCTCTAGATTTTTTTAAAAATCCGGCAACCATTCTGAAACCATCGAGAATCTTCCGTAGTTCATCCATGACAGATTTTTTGGGATGTTTTGCATTCTAGAATTGCCCAGTTGATTCTATCGTTATTCTATGGCTTCTATTAGGTCCGTAAATTGACGCAAAACGTTTCCTATTCAAACACAGTTCTTTCCTTATTTGTTACCATATTTTTTTATTCATTTGCTTATCTGGGAAAAGTTTAAAAAAGTAAAAAAAAATAAAACTGCATTTAGTTAGAAAAATGTGTATTTAATAACTTACAATCTACTTTTTGAGTAATTCATCAACATGGTTTACAATATTCTTAGCATCAATCTTATAGTAGTTCAACAAATCTGCGGGTCTACCGGATCTAGGAACTCTTGGAATGGCTACGTGTTTAACAATAATATTTCTCTCTTCAGCTAAAGCAGATAAAACTGCCTCTCCAATACCACCTTCTGGGTAATGGTCCTCAACCACCAAAATTCTGTTACCAGCTTGGTGGGCGTTGTTGATGATTCCTTGTTTGTCGATGGGTTTGATGGTAAACGGATCCAAAACTCTTACGTGAATTCCAGCTTTGGCCAAATCCTTTGCTGCGATCAGAGATTCGTGTAGAGTAATTCCTGCTGCTATGATCAGTGCTTGGTCTTTGTTGGTGGATATTGGTACAAGGGCTTTTCCAACCTGAAAGCAATAATATAAAGATTGTTTCTATGTACAATTATTTACAAGAAAAGTATTTTTAGTTAACGAACTACCTGATTTGTAATCGCCTCTTTTCTTTTTTTATTTGTGTAGTTTAGAATGTATACTACATACATAATTTGCAATTGCGCCACATTCTTTTACATAGTAAACTTTAGTGACATATTTGGTCCATTCACCCATACTTCCTATCTTTTGGACTTAAATGTCGGCTTAAAATGCAGGTAAATTTTTTTTATATTCTTAAATTGAACAGCTGGTCCTAATTATAAATATTTCTAAATTGTTTCCTTGCTTTCACCATATCAAAAGTCTTCTTTCTATAGTTTACATAGTTAATTGGTAATCTCATTTTTGGTTCCATCATGTAGTTCTTCTAACATGAATTTATGAAGTATTTACCTTTTTTAAACCCCATTTGCTTGTACTAATACCACAAATGCAATCAGAAGCATTATAGCAATAAATAAAAATTAAAAAAAAAATTAAGAAAAACTTACTTCGAAGACCTGGTCATTGGGGTAAACAACAGCAGTTGGAGCTCTGGCTGTACGAATGAAAGTAATTCCTTTGGTGTTGGCAGCTAATTCTACTGCTCTTTCTACTGCTACAACATCGGATGGGTAGAATACAGTGCTTCCAGGAATAGATCTAAACATAGCAAGATCTTCAAGAGCCATCTGACTGGGGCCATCCTCACCAATAGAAACACCACAGTGAGAACCGCAGATGTTGATGTTGGATTGAGAAATGGCGGCCATACGGATCTGAAAAATTAATAAATCTTAAATTTAATGCATGCCTTCCAATATTACTAATATTCTGATTTTTTTCTAACAGGGAGAACAAAGGCTTGAACTACTAGTAACCGTGTCAAGTAACGGCTTTTTTTAGTTTATTTCGTGTTAGTATAGGTCATTGTATGCCTAATCTTACTTTCAATTTCTTTTGAATATTTTAAAAGCATCTTTTCTTAAGTTCAAAATACTGCAAGTTTTTGCAAGTAAAGAACTATCCTCAAAGAGATCTTGAGGCGTAGCTGATACGGGGAGATGCAGATGGCCCACAACATGCTATCAAGTTATTTTTAATAAATTATTACCTACTTTATTACTAACTGAAATTCTCAAAATTGTTTACAGCTTCATATCTACTGTGAAATAGCTACAGCTTATTTGTGATATCCATGTTGCAACTAATGGAATAAATGAACATTATAATACAACAACATGAGATTTAGCATTGATAAAAAGTACTAGTTTATAAAATCGCAATCACGTTGGTTATAAGTAACTTTTATTTATGTACTTACTTGGTCGAAAGCTCTTGTGAAGAAAGCAGCGAAGGTGGATACAAAAGCAATGGTACGGTCTCTGCAGCTAATTCCCATAGCTACACCAACAAGATTTTGTTCGGCAATAAAGCACTCAATGAAATTCTTTGGCCCGTATTTCTTCATGGCTTCGGAGAAAGTTGAGTTGCTCATATCACCATCGAGAGCTACTACCCTTGGATTGCTTTCTGCTAACTTAACCAAAGCGTTACCGTAGGCTGCTCTAGTGGCCATCACTTGTCCTTGTTTGTAGTTTGGTGGGGAGGAGAGTCTCACGTTTGAAATGGTTACTGGTGCGACTTCTGAGAGGGGTGGTGGAATGTTGAATTTAAGTTTGCCTTGATTTCTGATAAGACCTTTGAGATGTTTGAGAATTTTTTCGGTTTCTCCTCCAAGGGGTTTACCGTGCCAGTTCTCTTTGTCTTCGATGTCTGGAAAATCTCTTCCCTGTAAATTTACATTAAATATTAAACAAATAGTAATAAAATAGTAAAAAAATATATCAGCTTCATAAAAATGACGTTGCAGGATAAAAATGACGTTGCAGTCTCCCCTGTTTGATATCAACATGCGGGTGAGACAGGAGACGCACTTTCAACCATGCTGTTCAACCTAGGTCTTGAAGCAGTCATCAGGAAAACCAATGTAACCGGCTATATAAATACCAAAACAGTACAAATTACTGCATATGCAGACGAAGTCGTCATTGTTAGTAGAAGCAAGGCACAACTAATGGAAACGTTCAAGGAAATTAATCCTGAAGCACAAAAAAGAGGGCTTAAAATAAACGAAACAAAAACTAAGTATATACATGACTATCAAAAGAACACTTGAGAATGAAAATAATACAACTATATTGATGATATATATGAAAATAGACAACTATACTGTTGAACGTGTGGAAGCCTTCACATATCTGGCCACATAAATCAATCAGAAGAATTCCGTAAGTAGCGAAATTAATGCACGTATTTCCAGTGTAAATCGTACATAATGTGCTAATAAAAGATTTATGACATCGAAATTATTAGACAAAAGAACCAAAATCACTATCTTCAGAACTTTGAAGAGACCCGTAGTAACCTATGGTTGTGAAATCTTGGTATGACAAAAAAAGAGGAAACCCAACTCAGGACATTCGAGAGAAAGATATTGAAAAAAGTATATCTCCCGGTATATATAAGAGGAACACGGCACATGGAGAATCGGTAGAAACGACGAGGTTAATGACCTGAGTGAAGGGTATGACATTGTAAGATTTGTGAAAAGTCAAAGACTGTCATGGCTGGGATATGTTCAGTAACAAGAAGGCACGAAAACAACAAAGACGATGTTGAAGTGGAGCCGATAGGAATGCGGAAAACCCAGGACGAGATGGTTGGATGACATGGAAGACGATATAAAAACCATGAATAAAAGACAATGGAGGAAAAGGGTCCAAGAGAAATCGAAATGAAAGGACATAGGAAGACAGGCTATGACTATTTTTATTAGGAATAAGCAAAAAATACGGTTATTTTCGAGTTCCTATTCAGTAATTGTTCTTAAAATATAAAATATTAACAAACTAATACATTTTGTTTTGTTATTTGGTAAAAAATAAAGAAGTGGAGATCGAAGAGTCAAAATAAACTTACTTTAAAGTAAAATTGTGGCTTATTCGCAATAAAAAGAGTAAATCACACATACTAAAAGCAATACACGAGTGGAAAACTTTGGTACTACAAAAAATTGGGCAAACAAAATTAAAAAATAATAATGTTCTTATGAAAATATGGGCATGCCATTACATTTTGACTACATTATGAATCAAAATAATGACCAAAGAATAGTAAAGCAGTATTTACCACTTACCTTGTAAGTTTTAGCAATAATAGCTGTTGGTCTTCCTTTAACGGAAGCTGCAGCGTCGAAGGCTTGCACCAAGGCACCTATATCGTGTCCGTCGACTGGAATGGTGTTGAAATCGAATGCTTCGAGTCTTCTTTTGTATATGTCGATTTGGTGACCGACCATGGTGGGTTGAGTTTGTCCCAGTCTGTTAGCATCTAAAATAAGTACCAAGTTGTCGAGACCGTAGTGGCTAGCGAAGTTGACTGACTCCCAGATAGATCCCTCTGCACTTTCTCCATCACCAATTAGACAGTAAACCCTAGAAAAAGAAATTAAACATTTTTTAACAAAGTTATTTATAAAGAATATTATTTAGTTATAGAAGAACTGCACTACAATAATACTTAAGTATCATACATTTGCTTTCTGGTCTTTAAAAACCTTCTTAATCTGCTGATATGATTTTCTATGAAAATACTGTAGATATCCAATAACAAAGCAAAAATTAACAGATATGATTAAGTTACTACGTTACTAAGATGGTTACTACGATGTTATGTCTTTTCTGTTGTACGGAGTTGACTCGTGGACTTTCACAGACGCTACCTGAGTAAGAAAATTGAGGCTTTCGAAATATGGTTTTATTGTAGGATCCTGAAGATATCCTATACCGACCACGTTACTAACCAGAACTTTATTAAAAATGCAAAAAGGAAAAGAGTTCTTAATCACAATAAAAACTTCCTGCGCTTCTCCTACCCTCTATTTTTCCTTGAATTATGAGTCTCAAGATGTCGTATCTTTCGCCTCTCATCACATGTCCGAGATATTGCAATTTTCTTTCTTTTATTGTAATTTCCATTTCCCTCTCTCTACCTATTCTCTAATACCTAACACATCTGTATTCGTGACTCTATCTACCCATGAAATCCTTAACAATCTTCTAAATGTCCGCATTTCAAACGCGTTAAGTCGATTTATTGTATTCCGGTTTAATGTCCATGATTCAGCTATATAGTAGAGTACACTGTGTACATAGCATTTAATTAGCCTTATTCTGAGGGCTAATGTTGCTAAATATCTCGTTTGTATTGTTGTTCTTGCTAATCTTCATGAATTTAGTTTTTTGACATTAAGAGAGAGTCCGTATTCTCCGCTATATCTTATTATTTTGTTCATTATTGTTTCTAAGTCTTCCAAGTTCTATTATGACTGTATCTTCGGCATACCTAATGTTGTTAATTAAACTTCCGTTCTCTTATATGCCGACTGTCTCGTTTACCAAAGCTTCTTGTATGATTTCTTCAGAATAAGCATTAAAAAAAACGGCGACAGCATGCAACTTTGCCTCGCCTCTCTCCTTATCTTCACTTCTTCTGACAGTTCTCTTCCAATGTTCACACTTGATCGTTGGCTGTAGTATAAATTTATATATATTACAGGATCCAATTTGTAAATAGAATACATCTTGGAGACGGCTATCGCCGTATTCACGTCCTCCTCCGCCAATCCTCTTGGTCCAAGGCATGCTCCTCCTCCAAACCTCTCGATTCCATTGCTCTTCTAATATCTTCATTCCATGAGCGTCGAGGTCTACCTCTTTTTCTTCTACCAGGGGGCTTCCATCTGTGAAGTTTTTGAGGCCAACGTTCGTCAGGCATTCTTCTGACTGGTTCGTCAGGTATCTGTAGCATTCATCTGATTTCTTATAGATTCGTTGGTTTTCCTTTCCAGCCTTGATGTTCTAGCACTTCTTCTCAAATAATCCATTTCAACTGCCAACAATCTTCTTTTCAGGTCTGCATTAATTGTCCATACTTCAGAGCCATAACAAAGAACTGATTCAACCATCGTTTGCCCTATTCTCTTTTTGTTCCTTTTGGAAATGTTGCGATCCCACCATAAGGAGTTCAAACATCCTACAATTTTACATCCCTGATTAATTCAGTGTTTAATTTCGGTTTCACCCGAGTAGTATAAATGTAGTATAAATTTGATATCAATATTACATATCTCTCATCCAGATTCTTGTTTTTGAGTACTTCTATAAGTCGGTCATGTTTTACTTTATCGAATGCCTTGTTTTAGTCTATAAAGCATACATAAAGATCTCGATTAATATCCAAACATCTTTGGATCGGCACGTTAAAAGAAAATAGTGCCTCTGTTGTGTCCACTCCATTCCGAAATCCAAACTGGGAATCACTAATATCCATCTCCAGCTTAGCGTGTATTCTATTATGGATGATTTTTAGTAGGGTTTTTAAGGTATGTGACATTAGACTGATCGTTCAATAGTCACTACATTCTTTAGCATATACTTTCTTTGGTAGACAAATAAATGTTGATGTCAATGTGAAATGATTTCTGTGGAATAGATTGTGTTCAGTATTTGAACAGATCTATGTTTTTTTCATTGACCAGTTTTAGCAATTCAGTTGGTATTTCATCTGGACCAGCAGCTTTAATATTTTTTATGAACTATACTGCATGCATAACTTCGGACTTTGTTATTTCGGGTCCCTCGCCTTTACTCTGAATATCTTCATCTATATTTTCCTGTCTCTGGTCATGGAATAATTCCTCTATATATTCTTTCCATCTACCTAATTTTTGTTCCGTCTCCACTAAAATGTTTCCTTGTTTATCCTATAGTATAATTTGTTTTGCTAACCCAGCTAATTCTTTAACTTTCTTATGGAGATTGAAGTTATCATATTTGTTTTATAAGTCTTCTATTTCTTGGCATTTTCCAAATAAGTCTCTTTAGCTTCTCTTATTTTCCTTCTTATTTGAATATGTAGCTGTTGATACTGAGTTATGTTGATATTCTTTTGCCTTCTGTCCTCCATCATTTTCAAGATTTCTTCTGTCACCCAATCTCCTTTCTTGCACCTCGTTGTTGTGAGTTCTCTGCGACTTGGTACGATAATTGCATTTTTAAAGAATTGCCACTGCTGTTCTAAATCACTATCAATTGATTCCGGTGTGGATCCGTAGTTTGCATTAATTTCTTGTTTCAGTTTTTCTTAGCCTTCCCTATTCTACATTTTACTTCTTGTGAAAATTAACACCAGATATTTGCGTTCACCCGTTTCTCCCAATCCAAAGTTTCCAGATACGTTGTGTGTTGTCATCTGCTCAACCTTAGCATTTAAATCGCTGTATGTTATAGTTATATGCATATAAAGTCGTAAATCTATTTAGCTAACATCTGTGCTCTACGACCTATAGTTACTATGTTAATTCGGTTTCATTGTCTTACACGCTTATTATATCTGAAGAACTACGTCTCCTGGGACAAATACCGATCCAATGGACGGACACTAGAAAATTTTATTTAATAAAAAATTCCTGTACCCGGCGATATGTGAACCAGCGATCCACCAACATAAACTAAGTAGGTATAAAGAAGATACTTATAAAATAACTAAAATAATGTTTGTACCAAAGTAAGTGAAAAAAAAAAAAACAAATAAAATGACAATGATACCACCATTTAATAAGTGTCAATAATATGGCAACGATATGATGGCAGAAAAGCGATAGAAGAAAAAGAACAACATTCTCCTAAAAATCAGCAAAAATTAAAAATTCAGGTGGACACCTGAGAAATGCTATAACGGTAGGAGAAGCAGAAAAGAAGATTTTAATCGAATTAATTTTTTGAGAACAAATTCGTCCTGACGCCAGTCCTGAAAGTCCAATTTACTATCATTTTTGGTAGAAGTACAAGGTCAGGTAATTTAAAAAGACACATTTTTGTATACAGGTAAAAAATATACTGGAACTAGCTTTAAGTTAATGTTAAAATATAGCCATTCAACTAAAATATAGTATATTCTTAGTTTCTTTATATCTTTATTTATTATTAAAAACAACTAAACTTTTACATGGTATATTTAACATATTAGTGCAATATTAAGCAGTAAAAAAATATAATCATTTCAGACACGAAAATGGATACAACACAAAAGTTTGTGTACCCGAAATAGTCTGTCCCCTTAGACCGTTTATTGTTACATGTAGGTTCCTTTTGGTCAACGAATCTATTGAATTTGGAGTCAATAGATCCTTATCGTCTTTGTCATTCTTTTCAATCGTCGGGTTTCTAGTTCTCCTGTTAATTCTTCAATTTTTTTTTATCAACATGTCAACAAAGATGTTTCTTTTTTTTCAAATTGTTTATTCTGGTCCATAATAACTAGCCTACATTAGTTTCAAATAGAAATATATTTCTACTATTTTTTATGTTAATACTAATTGCAAAATTCGCAAGCTTTTTTTACATTTGACAGGAACAATATAAACTTTCGCGCATGTACTATATACTACTGAAAGATTATTCGCATGTTGCTTTAATGTAGTTGTTATATAGTAAACAGCTGATTGTAAGGTGACATCTTTGACCTTAGTTCGTTTACGTAATTCCGGTTACATATTAGGATATCCAAAAATAACTATTTTTTATCATTTCCATAAAAAAACTAGCATGCCAATCTGGGTAATTATATTTAAACCAATTGCAACAAATTGCTAACATGTGCACAGTCATTTTAAAAATAGTTTTATAAGGCCGTGCCGAATGACAAAAAAAAAAGAGTTATGGAATGTGTAGAATTAAAATTTCTCCTTATACACGAGTAAATGACGAGATTATAATGTGATTTTCTTCGTCACGACGGATTTGCTTGAAAATTTGGATTTAGGTTCCTCTTACCCTTTACTTCACCTTAATAAGGGTTGTTTTTTAAGTTGAAATAAAATAAATTCATAACATTTGATTAAAATAATTATTGTATTTATAGTTTCAATAAAAAAATACAACTATTCGAATTTCTTCAAAGGGGGTGGTTTTTATAAGGGTAGAAATTATGTGGTCAAAAATTAAAACAGTAAAGAAATCTAAATAATTCCAAATTGCTTAAATTTACAATTGAGCCCCTTAAAGCACAAGTGGTGTAACTCGCATTAACCTTGTTTTAAGTTATGTAATGTTTTACTGGAATTATTATAAAAAAATCAGCAATATAGTATTGTAAGTTTTTTTTAAAAATTTATTAACAAAGGTTTGTTTTTTTTAGTTATTATTAATCTTAAATTATTATATATATTATTATTATTTATTATTATATTATATATATATATATATATATATATATATATATTATATATATATATATATTATATAATTATTAATCTAATATTATTAATCTCTATGCTGACGATCTTGCAATATGTGCTCAAGGAAATAGTTTTGAAGAAGTGGAGGAGAAACTCGAAACTGCCTTAAAAACAATGACAGCGTACTACCTGCAGAATTCTCTGAGAGCCAATCCCTCTAAAACCCAAGTCTGCGCTTTCCACCTTCGCACAAAGGAAGCCAAGCGAAAACTCCAAATTGTGTGAAATGATAATGCATTAGAACACACAAACCAACCTATATATCTTGGAGTAACTCTGGACCGGTCCCTCACCTACAGACAACATTGCATAAAAACAAGAGGGAAAGTAACAACTAGGAACAGCATACTCAGAAAGCTAACGGGAAGTAAATGGGGCGCACGTCCTGGCGTTTTAAGAACAACGGCACAGGCACAGTGTTTCTTAACTGCTGAATATGCGTGCCCCGTTTGGAGCAGATCTGCCCACACCAAACAAGTTGATACTGCGCTAAATGAGACATGCAGAATAGTAACGGGTGCATGAAACCAACGCCACTTTCAAATCTATATAGAGCAGCGGGTTTTGCAGAACCCTCAACACGCAGAGGCGCTGCAGAACACTTAGAGAAAATTAAACAGATCGTGGACGATCGGCATGCCCTATACAAAGCTCGAACACCACGAAAGCGACTAAAATCTAGGAAAAACTTCCTTGGAACAGTGCAGGATGAACCGCCTGAGTATTTTCCACTTCCCCAGGTTCAATGGACCGGCCAGACCCAAACTTTAAAACGTGAAAAACCTTGAATAGGATAAGAACGGGGGTTGCTACAGTAAAATCAAACATGGCAAAATGGGGAAAAATAGACCAAGATGATGTGAACTGTGACTGTGGAGAAATACAGAATATGGAACATCTTCTTACATGCAGAAACTGTCCTCATCGATGTAGGTACCCTTGAAGATTTGTGGCTCGCCAACAAAGATGGAACCGACGTAGCCCGATACTGGGCCGAAATTTTATGAATGACATGTCCGGACACGATAAAGCAAAGTAAAGTAAGTTATTATTAATAAAAATATAACCATTTTATTTAACATAGGTACATTTAATATTGTTTAAAAAATTCAGCAAAAAGGTTTGCTAAAAATGTAACCATTTTATTTAAAATTCATTTAATATTGTAGCTAAAAACGCTTCATTTACATAGGTTTTTACTCATCTTCAATATTGAAATCTAACTGTAGTGGCCCTATATTTTGAGCATCTTTTGAAGTAAACAGATTCTCAAAATAGGTATGCTGGATGGGTGGAATAAAAGGGAAAAGTCTTTCATGTCATTTTTTTTCTCTTTAGTCAAGTTGAGGTCCACTGTATAGTTTTGGTTTATCTATCTCAACTAAAGATACTAGTCGTCTTTTTTTAGATCTCGACTTTAGGTCTAGCTAAAGAATAGCATTTCATCCAAAAGAGTCTCTTTATACTGCGTGGCTAAATAAGCGCCAATTTCTTGCGCATCTCTAGATCCAGTCACTTCATCCCAACAATACATGAATCCCTTTTTTGTTGAAAGCTTATGGTAACCTAAATTGTAGACTTGGCTTGGGTCTGAGAGATCTTCATTAAAAAAACTAATTTTCAACTACACCAAATACAATTGAATAAGCAAATAAAATTTAACGTATCAAAAACTAACATCCACAGACACGTGTTAACAAAAAAAAAAGTTGCAGGAACAGTGGTGTATATCGCTTGTAGTTCATTTTGGCTGTCCACAAATACACACAAATAACACAAAATGTGTTACCTATCTGCATGGTTACTATATGACTTATATCTTACACCATTTGTGTTAACATAAAACACTTAATGCGGAACATGATTACTTAACTAAAATTAATGGAAAATAGAGTTACACCACCTGTGCTTTAAACAGACGAGTCCAATTTTAAAGTGGAGGGCAAGTATAACCTAAACCCAAATTTTCAGGCAAGTCAGTGGAGATAAGGAATTCAATGACATTGTTTTAATTATAACTAATCTAGGGTATGGTATTTAGGGGTTAAACTGTGATAAAATCTTAAATTATGTTTTTTACTGTTAATTGACATTCATTCGCTTCATTAAAAGATGAATTGAATCAATTACCGGCTTTAATGTACAATTATACGATTTTTTATATTAAGGGTAATTTTTACTCCTAAAAATAAAACGCAACCAACGGCACAGGTCCAAAAGTGAAGTGGAGGGTAAGTAGAACCTAAATCCAATCTTCATTTACTGAACCTTCAACCTTTTAGTATAGGTAGAACCTTCATTTACTGGACTATTTAACACTACAAACAATGAGATCGCAATGTTTATGTACTTAGTTGATGGATAAATATGTATATCCAGTGAAAATAAATTTTTAAGGATTTTTTAGACAAATATGTATGTAATAAGACACAATAAGTAAAATATATACAGATATAATAATAACAGTCTAATGAAGCATTGTAGAGAAACAATCGCTGGGAGGACGAAGACATATATACGATAACTGTTGCTGATAACTAGATGACTAAGAATTAAACAAAATATGGACCTACAGAAGAGTTCATAAAAAAAACACCTTAACTTAATATACATGTAGCCGGAAATTCATCTATTGCGAAGAAATAATTTAGCAAATTACTCAGAAATTATATTGGTATATCTTCTTGATGTGTCTATCCTGACGAATGTTAGCGATCATCATGGCAATCTTGATGTCTGCAGCAATGCAAAGCTGTTGTGTTAAACCAAGTTCTGAGGTTTTTTTACCAGAACATTCTTCTTCCTGAACCTTGCCTTCCAAACAGTTTTCCCTGCAGATAACTTTTAGGAGGGCATATCTTTCATATGTGCGATTTATTTTTCATATGTCCGAAATACTGAAGCTTTTGAGATTTGATGATGTTCAGTACCTCTTTGTTCTTCTTCATGATTCGGAGGACCTCTTCATTTATAATTCGGTCAGTTCACGGGAAAATTAGTATTCTCTGATATAACCACACCTCAAAAGGTTACATATTCGTTCAAGGTTCTCGATTTACCACCACAAAACTGACCAGAAAAGACGTAGCATCGCAGCATTCTTATTTTTATACCAAGAAAGAGATTGTGGCTTTTGAAGAACGCCCTTATACGGTTGAAGGTTGTCCTAGTTTTTCCAATGCGCGCCCTTATCTCGTGATTGTTGTTCCATTCTTTATTAATTATGCTTCACAGGTAGTTGTAGTGATTCAGTTTTTCAACTGAGGTTTGGCTGAGGTAGAGTTGACTTTCTGTTATCCTTTTCCTGCTAATTATCATGACCTTTATCTTCTTTACATTTATATTGGGTCTATATTGTTAGTCAACCGGTATCATGGCGAGGAAAACTCTTAGAACACACAACTAATAGAAAGGGGTAAAATTTTATCACACTCTTGTACGTAAAAGTCATTAAAGGTCATAGCAGGGAAACTAAAGCTAAAATTTTCTCAAGAAATTATACAATTGGTAGGTTAACTGGAATAAGTTCTGTAGTTTAGCAAAGTATTCTAAGAACATCACCCCTGGCTTGGTATTAGTCTGCAACAGAGTATTCAGCACCGGTTTGGATCCGCTCTGCTCACACTTACCACGTTAATTACGCGATAAATGAGATCGCTCGAATAGTAGTTAAGTGTTTGAAATATATTGCCGTTTACAAGGTATTCCCTATAATAAAGCTGCTCCTCTAATATTAGAAGGAAAGAGATTTCTAAGAGAGAAAAAGAAACAAGATAGTGACGCACATCATCCCATGTTTGATCAGCAAAGGTCCTTTTTGGGACCGTTTGGATCTATTCGCTTCAATTCAAACTGAACGACGCCGGATAGGTACAGCTTTGGTCACATTTGTACGAAGTCTTATTTCTTATTTTAATTCTTTGCATTCTTGAAACTATGCATGATAGTCTGAGGTAGTAAATTTTAAGGATTTTCCTTTTTCTCAAATTGACATAGTCTATTCTACTGCACTATATGGTTGGGCTGAGTTCTACTCTTGTTGTGTTTATACGAAACTTTGTATGTATTCGTTATTTGTAGTATTATTCATTCATTTGTAGTATATTCTTATATTTTGCAGTATATTCTTTTCGCTTAACTTCCTGGATGTAACGCTTAGCGCGTCATTGTCTGAAGTAACCGCTAACTGATCGTCTGATAATAAAAGAACACAAGCAGTTTTCTACCATTTGTATGCCCATATTTCTATTTTTTTCTCCAAGTTAACGCATTTTTTACATCAATGTTGTACAGCACATAGGACAAACTTCAATCCTATTTAAGTCCTTTGTCAACTTTAAACAAACTTGAAAATATTCTTCTGATCTTACTACAGCTTACTATTTCTTGTAACGGTTATATACTGCTATATTTATTAACTACTTAATAAAGAAAATATAAAATATATTTCACTTACCTGTAGCTGGCTTCCTCGATGTATTTACCCAGATAAGCCATACCAGCAGCTACAGCGAGACCTTGTCCTAGGGATCCAGTACCGACATCGATAAAGTTCAAACGAGGTGTAGGATGTCCTTCAAGGTCACATCCCAACTGTCTCAGCTTCTTTAAATCAGAAGCGGGTACAGCACCGTTCTCAACCCATGCTCCATACAAGGCTGGAGCAGCGTGGCCTTTGGAAAGAACGAAACGGTCGCTGGAAGGGTCTCTGGGAGCTGACACTTTGTAGCGCATGGTTCTAAAGAAGAGGACTGATAGAATATCGGCAATTGAGGAGGATGTAGTGGGATGGCTGAAATTAAATTGATTAAAATTAGTCTATAATTCGGCATTAATTTAACTAATACTATTAAAATATTATGTAAAATGCATTTGTTTATAAAAATCACAATATCGTTTTAAAATATATAAAGGTTGTACTGTCAAGAACAGGTGTTGTGCAAAACCTGTATTCTTTCTCCTATAGATTTTACCACTTTTATTGATTGGGTAATGAAAAATACAACAGATAACAAATCTGATATCAATAGGTAAATAACCAAACACACTACGCATTTAATACATTAAGGAAAATATATAAATACAAACGAGAGAGGTTATGAAGTTCATTTAACTACATTTCTAATTTCTAAATGATTTGTGATGTACAGTGCTCAACAATTGATAAGGATCAAAGTAATATTTTACGACAGAAATAATTGGGAGTTTTTGTAATATAATTATAATAAATACTAATACCCCGACTTTTTTATCAATGTTAAACGAAATAAAATAAATCTCGAAAGAAGAAATTAAAAGATTTCTATTGACGACACCAAAATTCAGATTTTTTTGCTTTAATATGTGCCTTCTATAAATTTGCAAGCCATAACAGACCATTTTAAAGATATAAGAGTTATGCACATGGAAGGTCTAGATAGATAGATAGATATTTTTATTTGCGCTTTGTTACATACATGTATGCATAGGGTATGTCAAAAATTACAATATAACATTAGAATAATACATAGTTACAATTAAAAGTAATATACAGTACAAAGACAATAAACAATAAGTCGCTAACAATTGCACAAAACATATTAAAAATACAAAAATAAAAATATGCAACAGACATTGGGCATCTTCTAAATAATTTCAGTTAAACATTCTGTAAATTCACTTACTGAATAAAAGGCATGGCTGATTAAGAATTGTTTTAATTTTTTTTGAAAATTTCTTAGTGAATTAAAATTTTTAAAACTAGACGGTAGTTTATTAAAAAGTAGGGAGCCTGCATATTCAGGAGACTTTCTGAAATTTGTGTGATTATGATGGGGAAGATAAAGTATCCTTGCATTTCTTGTGTTATACGCGTGTAAGTCAGTTGCTGTTTTAAGAACATTTAACTTAGTGAACGTATGTGATAGTAATTTATAAATATATATTGAAGCAAGCGTAAGAATGTTATTATTTTTAAAACATTGTCGATAACTGTCCTTAAAGCGTAAACCAAATATTGTTCGAATTATTCGTTTTTGTAGGATAAATACTCTCAAACTTTCCGATGCCTGTCCCCAAACAATAATGTTTTGACTGATTATGAAATACACTTGAGAATAGTATAGTGTAACCAACGCATTTATATTAACGTCGTCCTTTAACGACAATATCTCGAAATATGATTTATTTAATTTTAAACAGGTATTGTTTACGTGTTCACGAAAATTTAAAGTGTTGTCCACAATCGAGCCAAGAAAAGTAGTACTATTAACTGATTTAATAACCACGTTGTCTGCAATTTCGAACAAAGAAGTAGTTTTTTTTCTTTCACCATAAGAAAACTGAATACACACTGTCTTATCCAGATTTATTACCAAATTATTTCGGTAGCACCAGTTTTTAAACGACAGTATTACATTTTTGATCTGAGATTGTGCTAACTCGACGGATTCCGCTGAGACAAGTATGGTAGTATCGTCTGCATACATGAATATATGTTTTTCTGAGATATATTTAGGCATATCATTTACATAAAGTAAAAATAGTAGTGGACCCAATATGCCACCCTGGGGTATTCCTAAATTACTGTAGTATATTTCCGAGGAAATATTATTAATAGACACAAAAAGAGGTGTATTTGTTGTGTACGAATAGATCCTTGAGTTAACTGGTTCGCGAATGCCTATAGCTATAAGTTTTTCTTTCAAACACACTGGATCAAGACATTCGAAGGCCCTCGAGAGATCAAAGAATATTCCAAAAGTGTACAAATTTTGATCGATTTTTTCATGGTCAACCAGAGAACATCGCGGATTGAGAAGATTATTGGCTGAAGAACATCGCAGCTAGACAATCAACGATTGGGAAACTGTTTATTTACAGATGAGTCCAGATTTCGTATAAACAATTCCGATGGTCGTATTTTGTTTTTTTTTGGGAACGAGAAGAGAGGTATAATGAACATTATAGGGAGCCTAAAACTGCTTTTGGGGAGGCTCTATTTGCGTTTGGGGTGGTCTTTTTTTTTATGACTGCACCGACTTATTGGTTCTGACAAATGCTACGATGACGGCTCAGTGATATAGAGATATATTTGTATAACACTATCAATTGTTAAGCAGTATAGTTGTCTTTTCATTATCACCAGCATAGCCATTCAGTCCTGTTAGATTGACAATGTCAAATGTTTCCAATCTTGTTTCAGCATCTTGTCATTTATTCTTAAGGCTGTTTTAGCATTTAAAGCACACTGCGATTTGAAATGGGCGTATTACTTACTTTTCTACACTGCTTACGCCAGACCATCTTTACTCAGTGGCGCCGGCCGACGGGTAGTTTAATGACAACAAACTCATTATTCTCCATTAAAATTAGTTTTAACACGAACTAACTGACTGTAAGTTCATGAGATTTGACGTCATGAAGGCGATAACAATGATACTAAGCGCCAAATGATGAGTAACACGTTTCACTATTAGATTTTAGTATTTTTTGGCAATTTTCCCAAAAAAAAAAGTTTAGTTTTTTTTGGCAAAAAGTTGGAACCCGCTTTTCTCAATTATTACTGGACACAGAAAGGTAAAAAAAATCAACGATTACAGAAAAAAAAACTCTTTTAAGTGATGGGCGTAAAAAGTTTGGTTATAATAGAACGTTAAACAGTATAATCCAATTGTTCAACAAAAGTTTTAAAAAAAAGTAAAACCATCATTTTATAGGCAAAATAATTTCGAATAACGTGTCCAAATTTCGAGACATTTTTTCGGTAAATAACAGAGAAATCACTGTCCCTAGGTTTTGGTGCACCGATAAAACAGCCTTAAGATTGTTATTTTTATTAATTTCGTTACTGAAATATGCCATCAGATGCGTTACTCTTTTTATCGCTGCTAAAAGTGGTCTTCTTCAATCTCGTTATATTTATTTATTGTTTACAGATATTTTTCTTATTTAAGATTAGTACAATATCCTCAGTGTATCGCAGGTGATTGAACTGTTTGTTTCTCTTATTATTAATTATATTATGACATCACCAATTCCAATGATTGTGGTTTACTGTTAAATGCTAGAGGTGACCCATTCAGTAAAACACAAACATAATTATGACATTGGCATGAGCTTATCACACTTTTGTAGAATGTATTTTATTTCAGTTATTCACTTGCATGTTGTTAGGAGCCATAAATATATATCGTATTTAATGTTGTATAATATATAAATAGGTATATTAGTGAGATAGTTAAGTACGTTACATATCTTAGCTTGATAAGATAAGTATGTATAATAAAGAATTTCAAACAGAGTAGGTTGTTAGCATATTTATCACAAAATATTTTTAGAATGTACCGATTTTAAGCGGCAACCAAATTAGGCATTTTTTAATTAAAATTGAAAAAACTATAAATGGTAAAACCAACTCACAAATATAGCATTAAAAATGTAATGAAATAATAATTCAAGAACCAAACTTAATCGTTTTATTTTCTTAATTTTCCAAATTAATGCTACCTATAGCCCGATTTCGACTATTTCTTAACAAACAAAAAAGAATTATTTAAAGACGTAAATGTGCTAAACCAGTTCAGTACAAGCAGTGATCATAGGTTAGTAAGAGCTAAAATAACGATATCAACCGAAAAAGAAAGACTCAAAATGATAAATAAGAAACAACCAAAAAAATGGATAAAACCAACTAACATTCAGGAGTTCGAAAAATATATTGGTAATTCATTGAAAGATACAACAACAGCAGACATCAATATATTGAACAAACAAATAGTCAACACAATGCAACAGGCTCAAACTAAATATTGCCCGACAAGCAAAAAAATGAAAAACTGAGTCAACCCATGAAAACCATTATAGAACTAAGGCGACAAATGAAAGGAGATAACACTACAAGCAAAGAAGCGATAAATCAAATAAATAAGACGATCACAAAGGCAATAAGAAAAGACATAAGAAACTACAATGTAGAAAAAACAAAACAGGCAATAGAGCAAAATAAGAACATGAAAGTTTCGAAGAGGAGCGTACAAAAGGGGAAAATAGAAATTAACAAACTGAGAAACAGAACTGGAGAAGAAACAACGAACAGAGATGAAATATTAAGAATAGTCGAAGAGTTCTACACAGAGTTAGATAGATCAAGAAAAAAAGATAACAATACGGAACCTCCAATTACACTAAAAACTGGGGTATTAAACAAAGGATCAGATTTAATGCCCGATTAACAAAATCAGAAATCAAAGAAGCCCTGAAGAAAATGAAAAATAATCGAACCCCGGGTAAAGATGGAATAGTATCAGAAGCACTAAAAATTGGAGGGGATGTATTGAAAAAATTAAACTTTTCAATATCTGCCTTCACAGCGCCAATATTCCAACAGACTGGAACAACCCTACTATGATTCTATTACACAAAGCAGGAGACAAAGTAAATTTAGAGAATTACAGACCGATTAGCCAATATATAAGTTGTTTACGCGAATACTAGTTAAGAGAATTGAAAGAAAATTAGAGACTTATCAACCAAGGGAACAGGCAGGATTCCGAAAAAGTTACGAACAAATGACCATCTACAAAGTATAAAAACCCTAATAGAGAAAGCAGTGGAATCCAATAAACCTCTAGTTCTAATATTTATCGATTTTCACAAAGCCTCTGATACAGCTGAACTAAGCAAAATATTACAGGCGCTTAAAGAATGCAGGCTAGATTATAAATATACTAAATTATTATACAAAATATACCTGCAGGCAACAACCACTGTCAAATTACATACTAAGAGTAATCGCATAAAAATAGAACGGGG